GAAATACAGCCCATGGAATTTGAGCTGTAGCAATAGAACATAGTACGAAACAGATAGACATATATTGTACTCAGTGGCTAACGTACTCCAAGGAAAGGAGAGCAGAGAGTAAGAGGATGGTGCCATTTTTACAGAGGTCTGAGAGGAGCTCGTGACAAGAAGCAACAGTATGATACCATGGAGACACATGGGAAAGAGTGTACCGGGATTCATCTACACAGCACAGAACTCTAAAGCAGAGATGCTTTTGACAGGTTTGAAATCCAGAAAAGCTGGGCAGAGCAAGAAGGGTAGGGAGAATGAGGGAGAAGTTACCACCAAGAGCAGGTCCTCATGGGATTTTGTAATGACAGTGATTACCTTCTCAGTGAGATGGGCCCTCAACAGTGTGACAGAGAGTAGTGTGCTCAGTTTTCATTCTGAAATTATGTCTCTGCTGCTCAGTTTGCTAGAAGACTAGGAAGAAAGATGTTGGTTTCCTGAAGCTGTTTTAAGTAGGAAAACGTCTGTGAGTTAAAACCCTACATGTTCACTGTCTTAGTGCTGGAGGGCACAAGTCCAAGTCAGGGAATTACTGGGGCCTCATTTGTTCTGAATCACTTAGAGAGCAGCCTTTCTTGACTCTTTCTGGTATGGGTTGTTAATAGTGCAAGTGTTCTCTGGTTTGGGGGAACATCATTCCAGACTGTCTCCATAATTACATGGAGTAATTCTGCGTATGTCTGCAACTCTGTATGGCTTCACGTGACCTGACGAAGATATGGGTTGTGGAACTGAGGGCTTCCCTTGTGAATTCTGTCTTCATTTTAACTAATAACCTGTGTTAAACACTATTTCCAAGTCCAGTCCCATTTTGATGTCCTAGGTAACTATTAATTTTTGGAGGAAGTGGTCAACCTCTTACAGTTGGCCTTTAGAAGCTCTTGTAACAGTCTCGGTTAGAGATGATTAGATGTCCCTTAGACCAGAAAGGGAGGTTGTCTTCATTGATTAAACCGAAGAAAAATGTTAAAGCATACGCCGAGTGTTTGAAGGTGGATACTAAGAAATGGAGCAACAAGAGATGACATAAAACTTTTGAAGTCTAAACAACTAACTCCAGTAATGTAATTTCTGTTATAGAGGAAATGGGAGGGGGTGTCAGGGTTCCAAAGAGGAAGGGATTTGATTTCACTAGAGTGTCAGATACCTTGTCTCTTACTGCATGAAAGAAATTTGTGCAAGATCAAGCCAGACAAAATCCAGCCTGGATAATGTAAGGAGTCATGAAGTCCCACCACTAGCTGTGGAGCTACTGGCATCTGATGCCTCCTGGGAAAGGCAGAGTCAGTTCTCTTTGGGAATGCAGCCCCAGGAATGCTACCCATGTTCCATTAGATGGTCCTACATATATGGGCATCCAGGCAGCACTAAGCAGAATCCGTAGGTTTATTTTAAAAGATCATATGAAGTTGGGATGGAATAGTGGTATGGGGAGTAGGGGAGAGATTAAAGGGGAGGAAATGAGGATAGATTCAATCAAAACATAAACATATATAAAACTCTTAAGGAAATATTTAATAACAGACTAAGAAAAGAGAAAGGAAAATGGGAGCCATCAGGTGAAGGAACCTTGGTTTGCTTTCACGAAGGTACATTTTAATTGTCTCTACTTTTGTCTCCTATTGGAACTGAAGCTCAAGGGCACACGGGAGGTCCTTCTCCCCCTCCCCCATCTGCCCTCTACAGGAAGCCTATGTATAAAGAGCATCTCCCTAAGGTTCTGCAGTCTTAGTTTCCCAGTCACATTAGGCATTCAAGCTCCTTCCCTAAACTGCTTACACAAGCTTACAGAGATCTATCTGAAGGGAAGAAAGAGGAGAAAGGAACTTGTAGTGGGGAGAACAACAGGAGGAGGAGCCAGGAGCCCAGCCATGAGGAAACAGCTGCCTTCTGCTTAGCACAGTACTTCACCGTTAGTCTGTAGGGTTTTCTTTCACCCGAAATTTCATTAGAATCTCTTTCTGTTCAAAGCACCAAGGCTCTGCTTGCCGCTAACCTGTGTGGATGCTTCTCTGTCTTCATCCTACTTTTTAGTCATATTTGCTAACTCTTGAGGTCTTCCATTCAGAAGCAGCTCCCCACCACCACGTCCGCTGCCTTTAAATATTTATATCCTTAGTTTTTCTCCTGACTTAGTCCATTCCTCCTTCCCTCTCTGCCCTCCCTCCATCACCTCTTTCCCCTTCCAATCTCTTCTCCCAACCCCACTCCGCTTTCCAGCGTGTGTTACTAATGAGAGGACAAAAGGCCTGTATGAGACAAAAATTTTACCGCTGAGTTATAATCCAATCCCTATTCTGGCATATATTTAGTTAGTGTAGTATAGAGAATTTTTAAAAAATTAGATTTTATATTAAAGAAATATCAGATGACAAAATATAATTACTCTGAAGTGTTTGAGAAGCTCTCCATAATGAAGAAGCCATCTTCTATTTCATGAGACTGTGACCTGCTCTCCTTCCCTGAATTCTGGTTTCCATGTCTCCTGAGAAGGGAGGAAGGAAACATGGCTGGCCTACATGGTGCTCTGGCATCTCTGTTATCTTCTACTAACTGAAATGGATGCAGAGAGGACACTAGTGCCCCAGAGTTATCTCTTGCTCACTCTTCCTTGTAGCTTTCAGTCCCATACCACGTCATGACATGCACCCTGCATCCCCCTACAGACAGCACACCTCCTTTTGTAGCATGTCTTCTTCCTCCCTGCACCTCCCTTCTGATTTTCAGACGTCCCCTGGGGCTTCAGGAGCCAGGTTTTACAATATCCCCGAGATGACCTCTCCTGGTGCCTCATGGGCAACTCTTCCACCATCCTGCCCCTCAGGGCTGCCACCTCTCACCTGGTCTACCGTGTGCGATGGAGGGCCAGAGGTCTTCATCTCTCATGTCCAGATGTCTCAGTGCAGGCTGCTAACAGTGCCCATGACTTACAAACACATTTAAAGAAGTTCATGCTACAACTTAGACAGTCAAAAGAAACAACTTTCTTACAAACTCTGGGCTCTTATCATTCTGCAAGTGATTTTGAAAATAGTAATATAAGATATTTCCAATTCATTTCCTAATTATAAATGTTTTTGGTGTTGGAAGATTTAGTTTGAATTATGGCATTGAATTTGAAAGGCTGTTTCTGTCATGATACTCTCTGTGATGATATTAAAAGTTTTAAGGTTTTTATGTATTTTAAAACAGTGAGTTCAAATCTTTCTTTATACACATGCACGCACTCACTTACACACACACACACACACACACACTCACCACATTTTTCTATGGAATTATTTCATGGGTGATACATTTATTGTGTGGAAATTTTGATAATTTTATTTGAACATTAATTTAGGCTCTCTCTGTGTGTATGTGTGTGTGCACATGTGTACATATGTATATGTATGTATGCATGTATGTGTATATATGTGAGTGCATTTGTATATGCATGTGTGTGTATGCATGTGTGTGTATGTATGTGAGTGCATTTGTGTGTGGGGATCGGTGACGATGGTAAGGGTTAGACATAGAAAGTAGACCATGATTCATGGCAGGGCACAGTCAGGCTTGCCATATTGCTGGGCATTCCCGTCCTCACTGATCTCCTCCTGTACTCCACAAATATATTGCCAACAATTTCTTATCCCAGGGTCCTTTTCCTATGAAAATGTTGATACAAATTCATCAGTGTACACTGTCTCATGGGGCAGCTTTGCTGTATGCTGGAGCACTGTTAGTCTTAAATGTGCCGAAGAACTATTGATGAAGTCGCAGTAACACAACACTCTATACTGTGATTCCAACAGTAACCAAAACTGTTCCCCATTAGATGTTATGCTGTAATGCTGGTATATTGCCCAGGAGTCTCTCCTGGAACTACACCATGCAACATCTGACTGAAACAAACAATCTTAGTTTGGAAAAGAATTCTGATAACTTCACTCCCTGGATCTGCCTCTGTAGAGTGGTAGAGTCCTCCTCCATACGTGGCTCTGTGACTCATTCTTCACATTTCTACAAACTGTCTGCTTTTCATTGTTTGTAACAGAATTGTAACTGGAAAAATAGAATTTCTAAAGAATTTCCTATGGAGTGGCTATAGTCATACTTGTAAACACAAACAATAATGTTAGCAACGGCACCAACATTATTTTTAGAGAACAGAATAGAGAACGTTTTGTCTCATAAGCCTTTAGATCTGTCTGTGAACTTCAACTTATTATCAGCAGGGATAACTCTCATTTCTAAGAATGCCTGCCTACCTCCCTGTACATTTTGTTATTGCCCTGTACTATCTGTCAATCATTTCATTACAGGGATGAATTATAGACAATTGCCAGCTACCATTAGTTAGAACCTGTTTCTGAGAAATCAAAGGCTTAATTTTTTTCTTCTTTTCAAAAATAAAATCTAGCCTATCCAGAGGAGCAGAAAGATCTTCACTGCATGTAGGTTAAGATAGTCCTCAGAATTTCATTCTGCCGATGGAGTAGCATTTAGAAGGTTAAGAAGGTGTATATGATTTTTGTAAGAGGAAAATCTGATTAAGATAATTCAAGACACTAAGCAATGATGATAGCATATTAGGCTATGCCAATGTGAAGAGACTGTTCTTTGTGTCTCTGTGATGATAGCTCCTGAAGAATCTGGTGAGGTGAGCTTTCCAGGGTTGCATGTGATTGGGATATCTACCTAACATGGACAGGAACCTGACCATTTTAAGAGTGTCCTTCTTCCTCCTTGACACTCCCTATCCTGATTCAGAAGTTGAAAAGCAAGTCATAATGACTAGAATTTGCAATCCTTTGGACAGATATTTGGTGTTACAAGTTTTCCAAACAAGAGAAGGTGTGGATAGATGCCCCAGGAAGTTTTATGGAGTACCTGGAGGCTGTGGCTCTCTGGAACCTGCCTGCAGCATTCTGAACTGACCCACTTCGCTGTGCCTGAAGTGCACATGAAGCAAAAAATTTGATACACATATATTTAGAATAAGCAAGAAAGATACCTTAGGTCTTAATGATTTCCTTCATTATTCCTTTGACCAGGTAGATTTAAATAACCCATATGACAATTTCAGTAACTAACTTTAAAAAGATGTGACAAGTCACAAAGCAAACAAGGAGACTCTTTTTTTTTTTCAGAAAAATGTATTTGCAATTCAAATGTTCATATAAAAAGCATAGATTTTAAAAAGTTCATGGATGTACATAGAAGTGCTATGGTTTTGCCATTCATTGCAATTACATTCCGAAATGTGCAGGTTTCCACACTCTCCTGTCGAGTACATCTGTCACACAGACGTCACTCTCATCACTACCTCACCAGAGCCGTTATCTTCTGATACATCCTCGTGGGCCCTCATCCGATTAAACAGATGTAATAGCACATAGCCACACTGAAACCGTGGTGAGGTTAGTTGCGTGGGGTGGACCAAGTTCCTGTTCCTCAGAGCTGACAATGGTAACCACAAAGTCCTACTTGTGGAAGACTCTCCTCGGCTGCTTTCTTCAATGTCTGTGGCTTTGTCATAATTTAATACATCCCAGTGCAAATTAACAGCTCGCCATCGCTTAAACACTCTGTAAACTGCAGCTCCTTCGTGGACGATGAGGCCTAAAATTCAAGGAAAGAAAATGACTGTTGAGAGTTTGAAGTTGGAAACATTGTCTTGCATAAAGAAGATCAGGAATTTAAGACACAGCATCATCTCCATCCCTCATCATCATCAGAGAACACAGGATTCTGAGTAATAGGGTGGTTACTGGCAAAATACTCCATGCTGGGTAGAGGTGCTCGTTTTTAAAAGATAATTGATCAATGTGTGAGGCGGTTGGCTGTCATTGATGTAATTCCTTTCTAGCATCGGACTCATATGAAGTGTCTACATTGTTTTCAGTTACTAGCTTCATTTTTAACTTTGACATTGTGCCAACTGGACACCATGAAGAATGGTAGGAACTGGGGCTAAGCTGGCAATCTAAGAGGCAGATATTAGGGTCGCTACCATTTCCACTGCTCTTAAAGCAATAGTAAAGCAATGGCAGACACACAGGAGATAGAACACTTTATTTCTCTTGCTTTCAGCAATCACACAAAGACTTATTGAACACCTTAACTCCTTGTTAACCTTATATATATATATTGCCTCATTTAATTCCCACCAAAGCTTTATGAAGTAAACATTTTGCAAACAGGAGAGCCACGCTATGAGGATATTATAAAGAATTCATTGGAGCACAGAAATGGAAGTGGCGGAACCAGGAGTCGAACCCAAGCAGGCTGGTTGCGGAGTCCTTGCTCTGAATCTGATAGTCACAGTGATCTGAAGCAAACTCTAAGGGAAACAATCAAGACGATATGAGAAACTCAGGAGCCATAAACTGCTGGGTGGTCAACCAGGTGTGGTACAGCAGCAAAGAGCCATCACCACTTCGGGTGCCGTGCCCACCACACAGTTTACACTTTCCACATGTTTACATTTCAGCGTGTACTCCAGGAGATTGTTACCCTGTGATTTTCACAGAAGAGGAGGAGGCCCTGGAGGAGACAACCATTCCAATGAACAAGAGGGTCTGTGCTTTTGTCTTCCAAAAGGGCTAAATGCCATCGGAAGTCGGTCAGTAGTGTGGCCAAGGCAGACTCATTCCATCAGGTGCTGTGTGGTTTGGGAGAGGTGCACGCTTGCCAGTGCAATTTTCTTCCTGATGATTGGTTTGAGGATGAACACCTCTTCCTAGCACTTGAACTCCTTGGAGCATGGCTACCCCAAAGCCCAGGGAAGTGTGACTAAAAGTTCTTACTGCAAAATTACCACAAGCAATCTGAACATTCATCCTTGAAAGAGTGGGAGAGGAGAGAGTGTAGAGCTGGTGGACAACAGCAGTGACGTAAAATATCAAAGCAACATGAATTACCACGGATTCATAATAAAGATCTCAAAGCCACAGTGGGGAGAGAAGAAAGCTTCTCATAGGCATAAGGAAATCAAAAATACAGTACATATTTTCTTAGTACAAATAGGTGATTGATGTATAAAACAGTGAAAATAGCACCTTCTAAAGTCTCAGTAGTAAGGAGGGAATGGATAAATGAGCCTGTTGGAGGAGGAGGGACTTACAAATGTGCTTTCAGTTACAGTTCAAGTAGGGAAATAGGGCTAGAGGTATTCACGTATCATTCTGTATATGTTTTTTTTTTGCACCCAAGAAATTCAGATTTCCCAAGATGATAACAGATAATTTATTAGTAATTTAACACGTATTGAAAACTTTGGGGGAAAACAAAAAGGTTGCTACCCTAAGCTTTAAAAGAAGTAATAAGTAGACTATAAAAGGAAAAAAAGAGTCTTTATAGAAGGAAAAATGGTGGGGATTATATTAACAGGAAGGGGTACAGTCAACCCAATGGTTTTAATGTTGAAAGAGTAAGTAATTGAAAAAAGTACTTATTGATCAGCAGCAGCTCAGTGGGGGAGGGTTGGGAGCCTGCCTGTGCTGAGGGCATCACCCTTTCCTCTCTCGCTTCTTTTCTCCCTTCTCTTCTTTCTTGCTTCCTTCCTTTTGCCCTTCTGTTTTTTCTTCCTTCCCTTCTTCCTTCCTCTTTTCCTCCCTTTTATACAGTCATCCACTAAAACAATGCCAAGCAGGAGATGAATATCTAATCCTTGAAAAAAGAAGTCAGAATTGTGTCTATTTGCGCTACCTGCTTAGCAGATAAGTTTCTTGTATATGTGACTTAACAGCTTGCAAAGACATTTACCAGCCTGCTAAAAACATGTGTGACCTGGTTAAATAGACATGTCTTTGAGGCCAAATCTTCTATGTCTCAAAACAACAGGGGAAATATGCTCTGTCAATCATGACAGCAGTATAAAATCAAGGCTGAGTCCTTTTCTTCACAAAGGGAAGAAGGCAGTTGACCCAACTGACCAGTTGTTTACAGGGAACTTTCAGAATCATAGGTCAAGATGACTAGGTTTTAATTGCTGGCTCTATTATTAAGCTTTCAAAGTTTATCAATGCCAGTGATTTAGTCTTTCATTTTCTTCCTTGAAATGCAGTTGAAACATCCAATTATTGCATTGAGAAGGAAAGTTTGGACATAAATCATAATTCCTCAATACTGAAACACTTGGATTTCCTCTGCAATGGTAACTATGTAAATATAAGACATTACTATTAATTACAAAATCAATAGTGAGTTTCCGCGATGTGAGAGCTCATTCACACTGATCAAAAAGCAATTACAGTCCAAGGTAGGCTCACTCGGAGTGAGCGGAGTGTTGAAGACGGTTGTGTAACAGCTTCATCACAGAAAACCACTCAAATTTCAGCCTCTTATTCTTTTTACATTAAATTTTTTTGAAAGGCCAAAAGTCAGATAATTTACTAGAGGGGATGCTCGCTTTCTAGGGATATATTCTTAGAAACACTTGCTAATGTGCAAAAATAGGTCATACAATCCTGGTTTTCAGAAAACACAATCTTTTTGTCTGCCTACCTTCATGGGCTGCTCATAAATTGCATTAAGTCATGAATAATGTCCAGATCTTGTTTTATTCCACCATGAGCTTTCAAGTCTACTCCTTGCCTTATGAAGCTTAAATTCTCCTAAACAGACTGTATCCCATGCTACCCACAAGACACTTTTCCATTCTTCTTCAATTTCAATGAAGCTGTGTAAAATGCTACTGGAGCTGGTGGCTACAGGAAGACATGACCACCACAAACTTAAACCAATAATTAGGATTCATTTAACTCTAGCTCATTGTGCTGAAAAGCCAAACTTTAAAAAACTGTAACAGTGATAAAACTTTATCAATGGTACAATTGCATCAGTGGAATTTTCCCACCGGTGATCAAATGTAACCTTGCCGTCTCAGGCCACATAAGAAAAAGCTTGGATTTATATTTCACTGGAGCCATTAACCTTGCAGGGAAGTACAGTGATATTTTTTATAAAACATATATATTAACTATTTTAGGTTACTTTTTATATTCAATGTCATGGATGCCAACAGAGGATGAGAGTTGAGGAGTGTAGTGGGAATGTAGGGTTATTTTTCTGCCAATATACTTAATTGAAAAATTACTGATACTCAAGGAAATATTTTTGTTAAGGAATCATCTTGAAAATCAAAGCAGGCTTAAACAGATTTTGGGTTAACTGATATATTATGTTATCTGTAATTGTCTTGGAAACAAAGTATAAGAGATGAAGAAGATTATCAAGGTCCATGTATTCACATGGTCATATAGCTGGCCATGTGTACACACACACACACACACACACACACACACACACACACACACATATACATAAACCAAATTTTTGTCTATCTACTTTCACCCTCAAAGTGTCGTAACTAACAAAGAATTGAGCTAGGGATATATTTCAGCAGTAGAACACTTGCCTAGGTATGCACACAGCAGAAAGAGAAGGAACGGATGGAGGGACGCTTTTAAGTTTTATAGTCAAACATACATTTTATCTGATATTAACTACAACTGCCTTGGTTAAACACTTATCTTTCTGTGTCCCTCCCTCCTCCATGCCTCCCTCTTTCCCACTGCCCACATCCAGGTAAGGCAGTGAGAGGTAGTAACCAGGAGATGGCAGTCCTGAAGGCTCTATGAGATGTAAAGTATGGCAGTACCCTGAATTATCTGACCTACAGAACCAAGACAAATAGGTATTTGTTGTTTGAACCATTCAATCTAGTACTTCGTTGTGGCATATACCTGACCACAATACTATAGGAAAACTATTATCATCTTCATTTAAAACTTAAGTAAATCAAATACTGAAGGTTGTCATTTGAGAAACATTATGTTATGTGTTGCTATCGTAAGCACCCCTGTGTTTCAATGATACTGCTTAATATTACTAAGATGCTGTCTATCCTATGACAAAATCCCCAAGGAAGACAACTTAATGAAGAAAATGGTTGTTTGGCTCTCAGTTTCAGGAGTTCCAGTCAATGGCTCCATGGCTACACTTATTTGGATTTAAAATGAAGAAACACACTGTAGTGCAGGGAGGGCTGAAAGGAACACAACGTTGACCTCGTGGCATTCAAGTGGGAGAGTGCTACTTCCTTGTTTGTATCACCTTCCATTATGACCATCAAGTGATGAATTCATCATGATTAACTGAGTAGGGTTGAGCCCTCAAATCCAATCACATCCCCAGAGCCTTACCTCTGAATACAGCACCAGGACCTAAAAACCTTCAATACAACACATGAGTCTCCGTGGAACATTCCATACCAAAATAGTAGTAGTCGGACATCCATGTCCCTGCCTACACCAATTTACTTTATGAGGAAAAGGATCTAAGAGTCTTTTTGGAAAGCAATATTATGAGCTGTGAAGACTTTGCCTGGTTATTGTATAAGTTATACTCATTTCTTCTTTCCCAGGAAGTTCAGCCATCGAAAAGAGAAATCCCTGTGCACAGTCTTGCTCTGCTCAACCCAAATGCCCTTGGGAAAGGCTGGTAAGTGCAGCAGAGAGCTGGCCCAAAATGAATTTTGATTGAGATTCCCTAACATTTCTAGTTTCAATTCTCCTTTTTTCCTTGCCAAGATGTCACCATCCCAGTATGTGTGGGTG